ACCTAACTTAAGCCACCATACTTCTTACTACCACCTACAACTACATGATACTCATTGACATTACTATTATTGTCTGTCATGTCAACCCATGACACTATGGGTGCGTTCCGCTTACTCTTACACCAATATATCTGTGTATACAATATAAATGTATTACATTCTCAACAAGTATAGGTACTTATAGATACTTATATTAAAACATCAATGACAATTGGACAGACATTAAAACAGCGTTAATGAAACCAAGCATAAGTCACCTCCATAAAAGTAAAGAATATAAAAAAAGAATGGATGACAGATGATATACTGAACTTAATGGATGAAAGAAGAAAACAGAAAAACAAAAAGAACCAGAAGTATAAAGAGATACAAAAAGAAATTCGTCTAAAAATACGCACAGCTAAAGAAAACTGGTACGGGGAAAAATGCGAAGAAATCGAACAACTACAAAATAAACACGATAGCTTTAATGCACATCGGAAGATCAAAGAGTTGACGAGGAGACCAAGTAACAGACATAACATATTAGTAGACGAGAGTGGAAACATTATTATGGACACAGAAGAAAAATTAAGAGTCTGGAAACAGTACATAGAACAACTGTTTAAAGATCAAAGAGACAATGTAGATAACGAATACATAAACAGTGACACAGGACCAGAAATAACAAGAGATGAAGTGGAATACACGATTAGAGAAATGAGGTCGGGGAAGGCTACAGGCCCAGATGAACTACCAATAGACATAATTAAACTCATCAAAGGCAACAACTTAATAAAGATCGTGGAACTATTTAACAGCATTTACAAATCTGGTATCATACCTAATGAATGGATAGTAACACAATAATAGCCATACCCAAAAAGTCTAATGCGAGACAACGCTCGAAACATCGCACCATCAGTCTCATGTGTTACATATTAAAGGTCTTCTTAAAAATCATTCATCGGAGAATATATAAAAAATTGGAAGTTGACATCGGACCCTCTCAATTTGGCTTTAGAGACGGACTAGGAACTAGAGAGGCACTGTTTGCTTTTAATGTTCTAACACAACGATGCTTAGACGTAAATCAGGACATATTTGTGTGTTTCCTAGACTATAACAAAGCATTTAATACAGTAGAACATAGGCCACTGATGCAAATACTGGAAAATAAAAATATTGATACAAGGGACATGCGAGTGATAAGGAATCTATACTACAAATAAGAAGCTACAGTACGAATTAACAGCTCGATATCAGATAGAATACAGATCAAAAGAGGTGTTCGACAGGGCTGTGTGTTGTCTCCAACCTTGTTCAATGTCTACGCACAAGAAGTTATTAAAAAAGCTCTTATGAACGGAAAAGCCGGAGTAAAGATCAACGGTCACCCCATTTGCAATATCCGATATGCTGATGATACCGCGCTCATAGCAGAAAATATTGACGACCTATAGAGATTACTAAACAAAGTGGTAGAAGCAAGTGAAGAATTTGGTCTGTCACTGAATACAAAGAAGCCTAAAGCTGAAAATACGAATGCTTAAATGTTATATTTTCTCGGTCCTGTTATATGGGGTGGAGGCGTGGACACTAAATAAGCAATGTATGGGTAAGCTGGAGGCATTTGAGATGTGAGCGTACCGAAGAATGTTAAAAATCTCCTGGAAGGATAAGATAACAAACCAAGTTGTATTAGACAGGATGAACAAACAAAAGGAGGTCGTATTGAGTGTTAAAAGGAGGAAACTACAATACCTGGGACATATTACACGTGGGAATAAATATCAACTGTTACAACTAATTATGCAAGGAAAGATTGAAGGTAGGCGCAGCATAGGTAGGAGAAGAATGTCATGGTTGAGAAACTCAGGGAGTGGTTTGCTTGCACTTCCATACAATTGTTCCGAGCGGCAGCCTCCAGGGTCAAAATTGCCATGATGATAGCCAACCTTCGTAGCGGAGATGGCACGTGAAGAAGAAGATATTAAAACTTATATTAAATCAAAGGGGTAAAGTCTATAGAACGTTCCGATGAAATTAGCTACAAATGGAGGAAATTTTGTATTTGGCAATGTTGCCATGTTCTTATAATAAATCACGAAAGAGTCAGCATTGAGTAATAACCATTGTGTGCACTTTATGTGCCAATGTGTAGCAATTAAACTCCAACTAAGATGGAGCCAACTATTCCGGATTTGACTAGCTCTAGCCTGCTAAAGTGTAGGTACGTTATATCTTGAATTGAAAAAGTGAAAATGGGTTTTGGAGGGAATATAATGTTTTATTTGTCCCTTCCAAAATCCATATTTATTATACATTAAAAAAAGGATAAAATAAAATTTTATTATCAACAAAGCAAATCCTGCTTAAAGCTTTACAAAAAAAATTGAAATTGATACAGATGAATTCAAGCAGTTCGTGGGATGGATAAGTTGTTGATGGCTTCAGATACTGGTTGGATGGTTTTGTAGCTGAATGAGTGTATTATAAGTTGATAGAGATGCAGAGGATCCCATGTGTGGTGCACTACGAGGCTCAGAAATGGTCTCACTCATGGTCTTCATCAGTCTTTCTCCACATTCTATGGTTTATTCACTAAAGGGGTAGGTTTCGAAAAGTCTCTGATATTTACTTAGTAAATACTGGGACGTATCGTTGTCTACAACCTATAGGAATGTGCCTTCGGGAGAATTTTCGAACTATTTCAATGAAAGCATCATAATTCGTTGCGGTAGCTTCGAGTTTTCCCAGTTCACGGTTTATCACGGCAGCGTATCTGTCCCATTTGGCTTTTTTTTTAATTGAACACACGTCGAAACGAGTTTTCTGTAGTTTTGACTATTGCAGATACATTCAAACCAACTGGACGGTGCTGTGATTTTGGTATAGGATCGTAGACCGTCCATGCGCCGCAGCCGTCAATTACCCCACTTGCGAAGGTCAAATCGGGGTTGTACACCTTTCTCCATATTCTGTGTCTGTCACATTTAGAAGTTTGACACATGTTAGAAAGTACAACTTCCTCGTCATCAACAATTCCTTCGATATTAATCGAGATTGTCGTCAGAAATCGGTCTATAAGAACCGTATTTGATGCGGATCGTTTATCTCGAGCTCAGTCTTTTTTGGTCATGCTTGGTATTGGAAGGATTGGCCGTTATCTTTATAATGTTTCCAAAGACTGTAACGAAAATATTTTGCCTACCACAGGTGGCATTAATACGGGAGATAGAAAATTGGGGGAAAAAACTATTGGGGGTGAAGATAAGGCAAGCAAAATAAACGCTACTTGTACGAACGGCACTCAGGGTTTGGTAGGAGAGCTGGGGTCGTGGATAAGTAAAAGATGAAGGGGTTAGAATGGGGCAACTACAAAAAAATGAAATAAAGGGATCTTGGGATAAACAAAATAAAAATAAACAAGAAACACCTCAAGGAATTTAATATAGGGCGCCACTTGAGGTGCCTAATTATGCCTATTACAACCACTAGTTGTAAATAGGGAAATAATTAGAAAACAAAATCAAAACATAAAAAACATATCTTTTTCAAATAAACTCAAAAAGGGGTTCGGCTCAAAAAAAATAAATAAAAAGTTATGACAACAAAATTTAACATTTATTTATGTGTCACCACAAACAGTTACAAAAGGGAGAAATACAAAATACAAAAACTTACGTGCCATCCACTTACAAACTCCAGGAGTTGGAGATACTACATAAAACTACAAATTTATATGGAGGTTAACCTTGTTTAAAAATAAAACAAACTAATAACCAAAAAATAATAAAAAACGAGCTGTCACAAGTTAACATTAAATTTAAAAAAAAAAAACTAAACACACAAATTGACAGCTCAACTCAAAACCTAAAATTTACAATTTTAAATGTAACGAAAGCAATTATTATTTCATAAAAAAAATTGTCTGTCTTTAGTTTAAAATTTGAACACAAAAAAAACAGTTACCTTGATTTACATATTTCCACTTCACAAAAAGAACTTGTTATATATCTGTAGCATCCATCCGGAGATCAGCAGCAAACACTTCCATTTGGGGCCGAAACAGGAACAGGACACCCATTGGGGGCCGGAACACACCAGGGAAAACGGGAACTCTCAAAAAAAACATGAACCCTCCAACAGGAACCAGACTTTTAAAAAATCTCAAAATATCGAGCGAAAACTTCACTACTCCCGGCAAATTAATGCCGGTCACTTCATACTGGACAAAATACATCACTACTGCTACCCATTTCCACCACAATCAACGAAAAAACAGAAAATTTTACAAACTCGACATGAATTTGGACATAACGCTGAACCGCCTTTGCTCGCGGTTCCAACGAGAGTGACGAAATTAAAAATTTTTTCGCTTAACTTGAATATAAACAAACAACGGAAATAAAAACGTAGATATCTTTTTGCGACGCATAAACTTGAAAAGAAATTGCCGAAGTAAAATAAACAACTCTCAAATGGTTTTATTACTCGGCGACGAAACACTTTTGGTACTTTGAAAGATACGAACTAACAACACGGAAAAATTCTTCGTTTCATTTTTTTAAAATATATAAGGAGTTTCTAATATATTTCTTTACACGAGGAGGTTTCAATATACTCAAAAGAATCAATGAAATTGAGAATGCTACAAGACACCGACTGCTTTATCGCTTACGATGAATGGCAAAAAAAGCAGTACTCAGAGAGGGACCTTCCATGTCCCCATGAATTACCTATTTTTACAAAATTATACCTTTTATAAAAAAGAGGCTTGTGTTAATATTTATTAAATGCGCATGATCAGAACGACCTTAGAACAGTGGTTGGCGAGAAACGAATATACCTATTAGCATATAATTATAAGATAAAAAGAGCAATTTTCTATATACATACTATATATTTCTCCACATTTTTTATATTTTACATGTCACACGATTATGTTTTCGTTGTTATTTGTTAGTTTCGTTTATATTTTTATATTTTCTTTTTTCTATCACTTTTTTCTTTTTAAGGGTCAACAGAAACTATTCGAAAATGTTTGGTGAAAGGTCTGTTCCCAAATGCTGCCTATTTACACCACAGTGGTGTTTATAAAACAATCAGAGGAGATATTGAACTTTTTGTCCATCCTGATAGCGTTTTGTATACTATGTCTCAACCGCAATGGTATGTATATGTAAATTGTGTTTGTTACTATTCTTCAAATATAGCTAGAGACTTGGCGATTTTGTCAATATAGTTGAAACTAAAAGCATGTATTGCCTACAATATCTAGGCCAACTAAAGCTATGGTTTGTTATAACAGTGAGCGACGCATAACTCACAGTCAGTCGAACGCCGCGCACGTTCGTCAAAATCAAAGAAATGGTTCTCTCTTATAACGGTTTCTTAAGTTCTGCTGAGCTGCGCGCACTGCAGACCGATAGCCGCGTACGCCGACAGTGTGAGCTGGAATCAACTGTGATTTGATTTGGACGCAAACGTTCAGCTGAGCTGACAGCGTACACATCTATACCGAAATTATAATTGTATTTTTATATGGTTATTAATATTGTAATAATTAAGTGATGTGTACTAAATTCTCACCAGAAAGATGAAAGACTAGTGGATCTAGTACAAATTGTAAGTCAGTTCCAAATAAATCCCTGGATAGTCTAAAATATTCTCGAAATTTTTCCTCGTTTTGAAACAATCTTTCTTTGGCTATTAATTTAAAAGCACCTTCTGTATTAAGACATGAAACAATTTTATTAACATTTTTATTTCTTTTATTTAAATTTGACGTTATCAACTCTTCTTCCTCCTCTTCTTGGAGTAATAAAATTATTGCATTAAGTTTGATAGAATTCATTTTTTAAATGTAAAATCTTTGAGAGAATAAACGTAAAACTAATTTCTAAACTTGTTTTCAGAGCGACAGAATATTTATGCGAAATAATCTAACACCCAAAACTGCCGTGAGTCGAGTACAACAGATTCTGCTGTGCGCTGCGCACTGTTCTAACAAACCGTAGCTTAAGTCAACCGTCAGTTTTGAAAAACATAACCCACTTCCCACTTGACAACTTGTTGGTTATACCTATACTCTTTTCAAACAATTCTTTTGGAAAACGATTTCCGGAGTAGAAATCGAAACGTGAAACAGCAGTTTAAATAATTGTAATTTTCATTACAATCAGTTGTGGCTTAATCACATATAAATATAGAGGAAAATGCCTAAAACCGGACCCCCATTTGTTTTTCAGTTCATGTGTGTGAAAAATAGCAAAAAAAATAAAAAAGCAGATATCATTTACTTTATAATGTTTTGAATAATTTATATTCAACTTTCATTAATGATAATTAAAAATGGATATAAAAAATATGTATTTTCCAAAATCGAAAAGAGAAAACATGATAAACTTTCTAAATATAAGTATATTGCAACAATTTCCAATATAATACATGAAATATATAAAAATATTTGGGACAATTATTAATTTGTCTACAAAAATCGCAGATGTAGGCATCTTTATCAGCCCCAGCACAATCCACTTGGGCCCACAACGAACACATAATGCAGAAGACTAAAAGTTCTCCTTTACAATCTTCCGAATATTTTCTGTTACAAAACATGCACAAAGCGTCATCCTCTTGTCCATTGGCCAATTCAGGTATTCCAGAAGAGACACTGATTTCATCTTCGGTGTCTGATTCTTTTATATATTTCTCAAAATTTAAATATCTTTTTACTATCTCTTTCCCTTTTCTAGAATATCCTCCTGCCGAAAAAAACATTTTCTATCGCGGTTGCTTTTGAAACCTTGAACGCGTTCTTACTGTTCAGTTTTCATGACTAGCCGGCTTGTGTGTTTCACCACTAAGTCATGGAACTCTATGACTATGACTCTAAGGGCGAGCGCCCACCAAAGTGGCGTGGCAGTGGCAAGTAGCAAGTACCACGCGCCTAGCATAATGTAACCAATCCTAACGAATGATTAAAATGAATGACGTTACTGTCATTTTGGTGTAAACTGAATCATTCGTTTTCATTGGTTACATTATGCTAGACGCGTGCTACTTGCCACTGCCACGCCACTTTGGTGGGCTCTCGCCCTTAAAAGGCAGATAGATGCATATGTATCCCGCTATCAGATCGGAAGACACGCGCACAGTTGCAACCACCTCGTGCGCACTGATTTTCTGCATGCTTCTCTTCTTGCATCCTCATGCCTCTATTGTGCGGCCACCGCATGCGGCTATTATGCATGCGCAGTTGCACAAATGGATAGCCCGCTTTAATATACCATTTGCACTCATTGCCGCTACAATTTAAATTAAAACGTACCAAGAAGGCTAGGGGTCCGGATTTGGACACTTTTCTTTAATATTGAACTTGACATCTTATGACATTTTATGCTAAAAATATAACTTTTGTGATTGTTTATTATACTTACAGTATTATTTATATCTATATTTTTATAATATGTATGCAAATCCTTTCCAAATCTAATTTATATTTTTATTTTTAGGATTTTATTTTGTCAAGTAGTGCATACAACAAAATTGTACATGAAAGACTTGACAGTGATTGAAAATGACTGGTTATTAGAATTAGCTCCTCATTTTTACTACAAAACAACATTCCGCGAATAAATATAAAATATTGCAATTGTGTTTCTTATTTCTTATAATTTACGAGCCTTTTTGTACATCCGACTTGTCCCAGAAAGTTGGCGAACTCTAAGGTTATGGCCCGGATTATAACTTTGGGTGCGTTGCTTTGCCTGACATCATTTCATACCAACTGATGAAATTAAAATAAGCACGGAGGCAAAAGTAAAAACAGATGTTTCAGAAAAGGACTCAGAAATGGTCTTCTGAGTCGATAAATTGAATTATAAAGAAACAAAGATATAAACACGGATACTTTATATGTCCCAAATAAGTCTCAATGACTCCAATCAAGGTACTACAGAGGAACTTTCAGCACAGTAACGATTCGATATCACCTTGCTACAAGTGCTCTGAGAAGACAGGTCCAAATAAAAAATCTATTGGGTTTTGACGAAAAGCTATACAGCAAAGCAAGTTCCTTAAGTAATTTTCCAAATAGTAACATTAGATTCTACACATTAAAATAATATGATTTCAGCCAACTTGCTTTAATGAAATGTTAATATTAAGAGAGATACCTACACTTAAAGTTGAAATTTACAAAAATTTATTTTTCGCCATAACTTTCATGTTTAATGTATCTTTAATATCTTTTGATTCAAATACCGCTAACTGGAAGAGCAAAAAAATTAAGCGCAAATTTATGCCACATATGTGGCGCCCTCTATCAGCTACATCAAAGTATGCACCAAATTATAATTTCTTATACTATTACTCAAAAGCCCCCAGTTATAATGTTTTATACATAAATGTCCACAAACATGAAAGTTATATGAAATATAAAAAATATAGAAACATAAAATTTTAAATTTCAACTTTAAATGTATTCTTAATATCAACATTTTATAAAAGCAAGTTGGCTTAAATCGTAATATTTTAAAATGTATATTCTACTATTTCTTTTTGTTTAACTACAAGGACCACTATACATAGCAGATCTGCTGAAGTGCTCAGAACTTGTAGGTACCTACAATAGTTAGTGGAAATGTACAATAAAGTGGCCTAAGTATCTCAGAGGTGAGTATTGTGATGTATGTGAATAAGAAAACATTCGGAACGCACTCAGGTTGGTAACATGAAGAGTGACGTGACGTACAGGTGCAAGGAAGAGGAAATAAAACCATTCTGAATCTAGACACGATAGATGAAAGTATGAAAGGTGTTTCATTGTAACCTAATTTCCACTCTCCATAACCTATCCTATAAACCCGACCACGTGTCGTCACACTCGTCACAAGTATATCTGCTTATAGTCTTATTACACTTAGTTATAGTGTAATTACGTATGACACATTAATAAGACATAAAATAAGCCAATTGATCATGTACAATCAGTGTAGAACAAATGAATTTGATAGAAAAAAGATACATTACACTTAGTAGCCAGATAATGTTTCATGTGAAAGGAGCATGATTTGCTAATATCTGTTTCTAAATTGGTAAACAACACAGACATTTGTTGGTCTTTCTTGTTTGATTTTGTATGCAGTTCCTGCATCTGAGGAGATTGTGAGGTAAAAATAGCGTTATAATGCAGTGTTATAGTGGAACCAATGTGATTTTTTTGGCCGAAGCCGAAGTTCGGCCTATAGGATACCTTCGGCCGAAGCTGACTAAAAAATATACCTATTGTATGTTAATAATTTAAATAATGTGCATTATATTTTTATTAACTGATAAGTGATAATCAAAAATATGAAATAGACACGATAGATGAAAGTATGAAAGGTGTTTCATTGTAACCTAATTTCCACTCTCCATAACCTATCCTATAAACCCGACCACGTGTCGTCACACTCGTCACAAGTATATCTGCTTATAGTCTTATTACACTTAGTTATAGTGTAATTACGTATGACACATTAATAAGACATAAAATAAGCCAATTGATCATGTACAATCAGTGTAGAACAAATGAATTTGATAGAAAAAAGATACATTACACTTAGTAGCCAGATAATGTTTCATGTGAAAGGAGCATGATTTGCTAATATCTGTTTCTAAATTGGTAAACAACACAGACATTTGTTGGTCTTTCTTGTTTGATTTTGTATGCAGTTCCTGCATCTGAGGAGATTGTGAGGTAAAAATAGCGTTATAATGCAGTGTTATAGTGGAACCAATGTGATTTTTTTGGCCGAAGCCGAAGTTCGGCCTATAGGATACCTTCGGCCGAAGCTGACTAAAAAATATACCTATTGTATGTTAATAATTTAAATAATGTGCATTATATTTTTATTAACTGATAAGTGATAATCAAAAATATGAAATTATGAGATAAAAAGTTAAACATTTATACATTATTTGATAATAGAAGCGATAATAAAAATAAATAACATTAAAAAAAATTAAAGCAAGTGAGTATTACTGATTACTGGATCTGGTAGCTAATATTAGAAATCCAACATCGTAATATTATAGGTTAGAAAAAGAACCTTGTCAGCGTTTTCTCCTAACAAATTAGTTCTTCTGTCAGCTTATAGTTGCCCAGCAGAGCTGAATAACTGCTCACTAGGTACACTCGTTGGTGGTACCGATAGAAATTTTTGGGCTACAGTTTTTAAAGAAATATAGTGACTTGATTCCCAATAATGAAATATGTCTGCACTTCTTAAAAGCAAAGTCTCTCGTAAATACGAATCTAGGTAATCTGCATTGGGATCGTCATTATGAATTTCTTGTGTTGTATCCAGAACGGCTGTGACAAAAATATCCTGTGGATTCCAAAAATTATTGTTTTCTAGATCTACTACATGTGTAATTGTAGATGATGATGTTGAAGCGATAGTCATAGGAACTTTATTTGTATAACTAAACTTAGAGCTATGAGATTCACGTAACAATTTTAAAATACTTGCTTTACATGTAATTACTTCCTTGTCTGTCAAATATTTTTATTTAAAGCGAGGATCTAGAAGAGTGCAATTGACAATTCTGGCAAATTTTTAATATTAGCGAATCTTTTAATTAATGATTCACGAAGTCGTAGCTTTAATAAACTTATCTCCTCAGAGTCCTGCTCTTTTGCAGAAACTTTACCATTTAGCATTTTTATTAGTGGGATAACTAATGATAAGCAAACAGAATTGACTGAAAGATCTAGCGTCGCTTGGTAAAAACAAGTTAAAACTGAAATTAAATTGTTGATCAATTCCCATTTTGTTGAACTGGGAACTTACCACCACGTTCAGCCATATAAAAATTTATTGCAACTTTCCACCTTAGGCAAAACCTTCGGCTTTGTTTTGGCCAAAGACGATGTCGATTAATCGGTCGGTCTCTACATTCAATTACTGCCAAAGAATAAAAAATCACCCTAAACAAGGATCACTGAAAAAGTAACAATGACAACCTTTTAAGTTACAAAAAAGCTCAAAGTTCAGAGTCAAAGACTCTGAACTTTGACTCTGTATTAAAACAAGGTAATGTAATGTAAGCGTAGCAAGTGAGTGAGAAGTTGGAATAAAGGGATAATGGAACAATAAGTAGCATAGAAAAGATAATAATTATTCGAGATAATTATCATATATTCCAAATTAAATAAGGGATAATTAATACAGTTAACTTATACATTTAAATTATACAAAGTATAACAATTGACCTAGTTATGGCATTGTTTGATAATTGTTTAAACGTATAAAAAGCACGAAACTATTAACAACAACAGCCGTGACCCAAATAGACGCATAACGCCAAAACTGCAACTCAGCGAACCTACGACCTTGGTACTAGAACCGGCGTTGAAAGTACGACGACAATAAAACAGAAAGAAACGACGGTAACCAGGTCAGTAGGAGTCAGTCAGTCAGTCAGTAGTGATAACGGGGGCGCCGTAACTGCTCGCCCAGGGCAGTGATCGCCGGACGCGATAGCGTCCAGTACGCGAGACAGTCGGTGATTTTCCGGTGGCCGGGTATCTTCTGTCAGAATTCGCGTGTAGTCCGGTTATTGTGGCAGCTCGAAAGTTCGCAACCCTCAACTGACCGAGTTCCAGAAGACTGAACGTGTCGTGGTTGAAGCCCTAATATACACATAAGGTAACAGATTTCTTATACTAACCTGTGTAATTATATTTGTACCTCTGTCAACTTTTCACTATCTTGCTACATCGTCTCCCGACGCGCAGAATAACGTGTTAACGATTGTATTAGGAACTTCAGGGTAGATTCAATATATTGTTGACTCTAATATGGTTTTTTTAATGTTCCTTCGTCCGACTCACTAGAGACTAGGAGAACACGAGAATTCTGCGTATACATATCTCCGGCTTCAAAAGTAAGCCCATAACCTCTACTCTTTACAGGACCTGAGACCGAGGAGTTCTTACCCCTATCCCGAAATCCCTTATCTTCTCGTAAATCCACGAAGACGAGCCAGCCCTCCAGACCAGTGTGACCAGTATTCCTTGCAGCCGCTCGCAGGGTTAGCATCCCTTGAGGATCTATTGTATTTTACATTTGGTGACAGTCTTTACAGGACCCTATACATAGAAGTCCTTAATCCCTTACCACTCTCGTAAATCTGTCCCAGGATTTTTACATTGGTGACAGCGGTCCCGGTTTGGGGGAATTTCGGTAAATAGGGATAATTAAGTCACTTCTTCAGTATCCTTGTAAACTTTTGCAAGTTTTGTAGCTATAAGAAGCCTTCATCGTTTCATTTCGCCAGTGACATTCCAATTTTTTTTCTTCTCTTTCCTAAGACGACAACAGATTAAAGAAACAGTGAGGTATCCAGTAAATATTGTGTGGAGTGCAGGACTCCCTCTTCTGGAAGAAAATCCTTTTTCTCTCTTTGTTATATAAACTTGTTAGTGGTTTTACACAAATTATTCGTATATAGTAGATTTTTTTTTTTTTTTGTCTTGTATCACTGGAAAATAACCTCATATCAATTCCTTCCCGAGACTTAGAATCCTAAAGTAAGATAGGTGAATTGCTTTTATGATATATGTGAAGAGATGACAAGTACAAATTTTT